CAGATTGGCTACCTTAAAGGCAGGTTTTACGATGAAAAAGGAACTCATTTCAGATAAAGTTAAGCCACGAGTCAGGATTAGGCAACCAGCAGAAGTTCTTCCCAGGGTGCGATAGTGGGCTCCCCAAGCACTGAGGGCGCGACACTATCGCGACCCAAAAGTGCGCGGCAATGGCGCTAAGGCCTTGCCCGCCGCGCTGCCCGCGCTGCCAGCGTAATCCACCACGGCATACGTGGTCTCTGCGTCCTCTCGCGTATGACGTACTATCTCGCGTTCTCCCTCTCCTCGCAGCGCTGTGTCTCTCCGTCGTACTACGGCCGGCCTCCTAAGGGAAATTTAGTGTTTTCTATGGTGCTTTTTGCTTTTTCTCCTCACTAATGTTCCTCATTGCACCCCTTGCCTAATGTTTGAACAAAATAACGCATCAATTCAATCCGACTCGTGCCTTTAAGGATGGTGAGTGGTACACGAAAGAAGGAAAAACCATGAGAAACGGCCCAGAACCCGAGAAATGGGACCCCTTCCTTGCCCGTTGATTTGCGCATTGATGCGACTCTCATCGCTGTGCCCTCTTCAACGCTCTCTGCTATCTAATCACTCGCCACGTATAGACCTGCGGCGAGTGATTAGATAGTCGGTGGGCGTACCCGCCAACCGCGCCAAGAGTGAGCCATGCTAGATCGCCGAGGTCAAATCTTTCGCTGCCAATTGCGCGTCGGTCAGCACCCTCAGGAGGTCCGCCTGTCTCCCAACTATGCAATTTTCCCCTTCTTTGACCTTCGTTCTTATCGTGAAATCTACCTTTTGAGCAACAGCCTCCAACAAGGTTATAAACTCAGGAGATTAGGGTAGTATACCGTATATTTAATGGTGCGCGTCAAGCAGCGTGTGTATTTGGTACAGCTGCACACAATATCCTCTACCTCACGTCAAGCCCTTTGATTCGATCGATCCTTCCTCTTTTCTTGATCGAACTTCTTTTTTGAAGATTCGATTGGAATCTGAAGGTGGGTTTTTGATTCGTTGAAGTGAGAATTGATGTCGTTTCCATTTCTTACATCGAATTTTTTTGTTGAAGATACGATTGGAATCTGTAGGTAGGTTTCCTTGATTCATAAGAGTGAGAATTGATGTCGTTTCATTTAGTACAGTTTTAGTTGGTGTTGTGTAAGTGTCCAAGTGTCCAGGTCGGTACAATTTTGATTCTTTTCGATTCTTCATCAATAGTTGAACTTCATAACGACTTGGAATTCGATAGGCGATGTCTTTCTGAGTGTAAAAGAGATGTGGTCGTTCATTGAAACTACGAATAAAGAATTGAACGCAAAATCGATCAACCTAAACACCTGGAACTTATACAACACCTATATGAAACTGTACTAAATAAAACCACACATTTTCACTGTGACAAATCGATGGAACCTACCTTCCGATTTCAACCGAAACTTCAGAAAAGAAGTCCGCTTAAAGAAAATACAAGATGATTTCCTCAGCCTTTATGAAGGGGAATAGAGGAAAGGAATATTTATGAAAAAAGCGAATTTCCCGCTTCTCACACGTGAAAACGTTTTTCGCGGCAAGAACCCCAGATGCAGCCATGATCAGCGGTGGACGTGTTCCTGCAGCGAAGAAAGTTTCGCGCTGCGAAAAGCGGAAAATTCGCTTTCTGTCCTAGTAAACCACACCCATAAGCTCTATGGGACGTAAAATAGAATACTGTTCACAGTTCTGTGTGCTAAGGATAAACCCACACCCAAGGTCAACCGCCCGTTGCGCAAAGGACAACGAGCGGCAAAGTGGTGAAATGCATGGAGAAAACAGGATTTAAGTTTTATAGTTTTCAACTATCTGAAAAGAAGGATACGTATTTGATGAAAAGCTGTGAACTTTGCGAGCTCGCTCAATGAGTTGTTCCAAGAATTTGCTATTTCAGCCTAAAAACTTTCAGTGGACTCTGATGAGTTCAACTCTTGGAATACAGCAGAATATTCCCTCTTATGAATCCTGATTCCTTTTCATAAATATTCCTTTCCTTTATTCCCCTTGCTGAAGAAACATCTTGTCTTTTCCTAATCGGACTTCTTTTCTGAAGACTCGGTTAAAAACTGAAGGTAGGTTTCATCGATTTGTAAGAGTGAAAACGGATGTGATTTATTTAGGAACAGTTTTATATTGGTGTTCTGTAAATTCCAAGTGTTTCAAGGTTGATAGATTTTGCGTTCTATATCGTAGTTTCAAGATGAATACATCTCTTTTCACACTCGGAAAGACATCGCCTATCGAATCCCAAGTCGTTATGGAGTTCAACTATTAATAAACAATCGAAAAGAATCAAAATTGTACCGACCTGGACACTTGGACACTTACACAACACCAACTAAAACTGTACTAAATGAAACGACATCAATTCTCACTCTTATGAATCAAGGAAACCTACCTACAGATTCCAATCGTATCTTCAAAAAAGAAGTTCGATCAAGAAAAGAGGAAGGGATCGATCGAATCAAAGGGCTTGACGTGAGGTAGAGGATATTGTGTGCAGCTGTACCAAATACACACGCTGCTTGACGCGCACCATTAAATATACGGTATACTACCCTAATCTCCTGAGCTTATAATCTTGTCAGCCTCCATGACCTCAGATAAGGTCGTGTCGAACAGGATATTCCGTGGGTATGCAAATGAGTGTTCAGTCCCTATTGAGCAGGAGACTATATGAGCCCTTCAAATTCCAAATCTGTTTATTGCATCCAAAAATATGGCCATCCACAGACTAATGGTGCATTTCTTTTCTCGAAGTTTAATATTACGGTTCGTAACTCGCAGTTTTTAACTCGTATGGTAATGCGTCTTCACTTCCATTCGAATAAATTTAAAAAGAAAAATGGCGCCATGTGGGGGTCGAAAGGGGAGGGGACGACGACCAGCCCCTTTACTCTGCGCGCGGCCGTTAGTCGGTTGCTCGCTCGGGGAGAGGACACCCACAAAAACCAACAGTTCATCAACGTCGCTTTAACCGAGCCAGAGGCTACTGTCTCATATTGCCATATCTACGTTATTGAAGGAGTAGAGTTTTCGGAATGGAGCTACTGCAGGCCTTCCTAAAGGCAAGCCCGGGATGAAATGGGTGTGTAGAACATTCAATAATAATAATGATATGAAAGGAAAAGAAAGCACAAGAAACAACTGCCTCCAACAACCCCTCTTTCTTTCTATACCACTCCTTGTATTTGGGAAATAGCTTGCTCGGACGAGCCTTTTTTTCTCAGGAAGCGCGGGGCGCACTCCAGAATAATTTACGTATCCTTTCTATGTTATCCAGATTAGTCCCCCGTCAACCGCCGGGACCTTCCTTTCCTGCGCAAGCTTTCTATCCTCCGCTATGGTCCCTTCCTCCTGTGACACCAACACCTCGTGGAAGTGACGCGTATGCAACACAATGGTGTTTCAAACAGTAGAAGGGACACAATCATGATATGACGGTAGATTTTTCGCTTCCCTTCCTCATCCTCCCTTCCTCTCTCCACTGCCCTCCAGCTGCCACTGCAGCACCATGTGGAATGAACGGAAGTGTGCTAAGCAGGTGTTTATATAGCCCTAAGAGTGTTATCACAACTATCCTGCTACAAAACATTGATATCTCAAATCCTGTAAGCTACCCGATTTGTTAGCGGTTTGTTTATCCCATGAGCTTCCTTCTCACTCACTTCATTTTGCGGGGACGGACACACATACATACATACACACGCACACACACACACACACTCACACACACACACATACAGATACACAAACCGACACACAAAGTTAGCGCTTTATAATATATTTTTCTATGTTATATGTAAATACTTCTTCTTAAGTGGAATTAGCCGCGACGAAGCATTATAAGCAACGTGTAGCAGCAGCCATAATCTTTAACCCTTACAACAAGCGCGGTGGGCGGGGACTGTTGCGTGGTAGCAAGCACGGGTGATAGTGGCGCTAGCGAGGAACGTGGTAGGACGTTCATTAGGTATGAACCTACAGGTTGTGGTGCTGCTTTGCTATAGGAAGCTTGAGCTCTTGAACTCGCGCGCGAAATCTAGAATAAGATAGTAGTTAGAGTTTGGAATTGTGAGACAAGTCTAGAAATAAGTAATCGATTGAGAATCGCCGGAGAGTAGTAGATTGCGCGATATTACGATATAGTAGTAGAGTAGGAGATTAGGATAGTAGTAGATTAGGATAGTGCGCTGACAAGATTAGATATGTATTGATCTATTCGCTTGAAGTCGCCCAATCTACTACTCTCCAGCGATTTCAATCGATACGTATCCAATCTTGTCAGCGCAATCTCCTACTCTACTACTATCCTAATATCCCGAACTTCGCGAACTATGAACGCGGCTTTAGAGGTTCATTGCCGATTCCGACTAAATGGCTCATTACGTTAGATGTGTGTGCGCTGATAACTTATGGTAAATATATCATGAAAATTGAGCTGGCGTGAAACGGTGCCCAGGTAGAGTAACTTGTAGCGTACTTGACCGGAAAGCGAGAGTGGTGGGTTTGAGTCCCGCCTAGGGCCGAAATTCTATTGTATATCACAACCGGCTTACTTGCTGAAAAACACTTTTATTGAACAATGCAACGGTGCATGTTCCTTAATGACATTCGTTATGGTTCATTCCACGTCGGACTCATCGGAATCCTCAGAACTTCCACAGACATGAAGAATACCGCAAACCTCGTCAGGTGAAGCACTCTAAAACGTTTTTAGGAATTAGTTATCAACAAAATTCAGGTTCTGGTCAATTCCCTAAGAAATAAATGCAAAGTCAAAATCAAAGTGATAATTTATTAGGCTTGCAAACGTCATTGGAAATCTAAAGGGTAACCTTTATGAAAAAAAGGGAAGAAACAGTCGACATGAGCGAAAATAATGCCTCTTTTTCAGTAAAAGCGGAGCAAACTAGCACTAATTTCTGGGTGGAGTCAGTGGCAGTGGGCGGGGCCAATGCTGCATTCTGAGGTCTTTCCTAATCGTCCCAATATTTGCATATATGCTCCCCGCTTGCGTAGTATTACATTGATCTCGGAGGGGGGCTTATTTTAGACCGGAAATCCTGAGCCATGCCTTTGTCCTATTGTTAGGTCATCCGAAACAAACCTGAACCTTCGCGTCTAGCTTTGTGAGACCTTTGAGGAATTGACGGCAAGCAGACTTCAAAAACCTCGGAGCGTTTGTGTTGCACTGTTCCCTGATAGCCTACAAAACAATATCCTGAATGTAGTCCTTCCAAAGCGCTGTCCGCAGAACAATAGCGAACGGCGCTCATGTTCCTTGGGGGGTGGGGACATTCAAAACACGGCCGATGGTAGGTGAGACTAGGACTAAGCCCAGCAAAGGGGAGAAACGCCAGGGAGAACGCAAATTGCTCACATGCTCCCCAGGATCCCTTCCCCTCCCTGGGCCTTGGTTCCGAGCACAGTAGTTGGCTCACTCACTTGAATGCCCCCCCAAGGGCATGAGCGCCCAGCAACCATTAGGAAAGTGCCATTGCTATGTTCCTAAGTGCTTGAATATTCGCTCCTGCTGAGCTGGACCAGAGAGTACGGTTCAATTAACCTGTTCAGAGTCTTTTCCTGCGGAAACCAACTTCTTGACATCATCAACTATATGTTTGCACAATTTACAAAGACGACCTTCAGAAAAGACAGGAGAAGCGATAACGGCGCAGACAACAAGAAGAAATAGCACTTTAGAATTCATAGTTTCGGCCAACTGAAACAGAACTATTGGCTAATATAATAAATATGTTGCAAGTTGGAATTATTATTAGTAAAAGCTTTGATTTTGATGTCAAAAAAGTACAAATCTCCTGCTTTGAAAGGCAATAACCTCTTTGGAAGGGGGATGGCGACAGGAGTGTGAGCAAAACTCACTGGCGGGTGCACACGGCGGTATACCGTAACCTTTCGACGTAGGGGCGTTGACACTGGGGCGCGCAACGACGTCATCGATTTTCCATGCGTGCTCGCCTCCCAGTTCTTGTTTTCTCTGCGCTCTCTCAACGAGGAGAAAATGTGTCGAGCAAACTCGCCAACTATACCGAGCGCCGTTAATGTAGGAGGTGGAGGATGGCATGCACGTCTTCTCCTTGCGTAGGTTTGCTGCCTGGAAGTCCGCGGTTAGCCTCAATCGGTTATCTGTGCTTCGCAGCTTCGCCTAGGTACTTTGCGCCAGGTAGGCTTGCGACTTCCGCTCCGGCTGCCAACCGCGTTACCGGTAACTATACTTTTTGTGAACTTTGTAGGCCTTGTCTAGAGCGACGTCACACCAGCCACCATCACGGAAATGCTCTTCGGTGGCACGGACGCGGGCTCGGCATCGGCTAACGTTTCAGTGTTTTCGCCTCTTCATAGCCATCTTATGATTAGGTGAGCAGAATCAGTGGCAAATGCCCGACTAATGCGTCTCTTGCGGTACAATCTAGCAGAATTTGGTGAACGGTTCCCTCCGGTTTACAGTTTAGGTCCCTATAGGACATCAATGTTTCACTCCCGTGCGTGGAAATCGCAGGACGAGAGTGCGGACTGAGCCCAGGGCAAAAAGGAATGACTTCTGGGAAAATGAAAACTACTTATATACCTCCTTCTCTAGTCCCCCCTTAAGGCTCAGATCCTGGAGCTAGGAGAGTGGAATGCTGGGTGCGTTAAACCGCGTAATGATCCCCCTTGCACGTTGGAATACCAGCGCCCATGAGGGCTAAATTTCGTAATGAACTTCCTCTCACTGAAAGGACTCATCGATATTGGTTCTGGCATGCATTTGCAATGAAGGAGGGGGACGAGGTCGGGAAAGGGGAAGAGAAACGGTGGGGTGCACAAGGGACGTGATGGATGAAGTGCTGTAGTCGCTGGCAAACTGTCGAAATTCTCTTTCATGTATGGACTCTATGGAAGGTGAAGGTGACATGAGTAGCCGAAGCTAATAATAACATGTCGTATCATTCGTTCTTCCAGAGCGAATCATGATCAATGGAGAAACGGTAAGCGTACAGTGCAATAAGATTACGGTAATCGATCTGAATTCACTGACATGAGCAGGGTGCGAGCCGACTCAATCGTGGCGTTGGCAGGTCGCCGCGCTTATGACCGTACCCTAGATGTCGCGTTGACCGCTAGTGGATTCCGGATTCCTGACAAGAGGCCCGTCGTGTGTCGAGAAGTCAGATACGGAGACGGGTCGGCGGACGAGTTGCAGCACATAGTGCATCGATTTGGCTCGCATTCCCTAATGCTTGGACCGTGGAATCCAGAGGTACCAAACATGTGACCCGTCGCACCTATGCTTTCTCGTCGTGCATGGGGCTCTAGTTTCCCCTGGATTCCAGTGTAGAAACGTTAGGGAATGTAAAGGATGACCTCCCGGCCATGGAACATTTAATATATTTATCCCCTTCCTCGTTGTAGGTAGACTTCTCATCCTTATTATTATTTATAAACGTGTCACTTTACGTGGCACGAGCTCTTCTTCTTCTCCCTAGCGTTAGTCCCGCGCAGTCGCAGGGTCCGCTGTCTTTGTCAGTCGTCGCCACTTCGCTCTGTCCTAGGGCATCTTCTGCTGTGGCCGTGATTTCACTTAGGTCCTTCTTGATTACGTCCTTCCACCTCTTCTTTGGGGCTCCTCGCGGTCGCTTGCCTTGACGGGTGGTCCCGTGGTCTCCTTAGCACGTACCGCTCTAAGCACATCGGAGTCATTGTTGCCCTCACCTTCAGCTGGACAGGGGCAGTCTGCATGACCGCTCTGACATCCTCGTTTCTGACCCTGTCCAGGCCCATCTCAGCATCCTCATCTCAGCGGAGTGAAGCTGCCTTTCGTGATTCTTGTTCAGGGGCCAGCACTCGCTGCCGTATAGCATCGCAGGCCTTACCACTGTCCGGTACACCTTCCCTTTGAGCGTTCTGGAGCACCTTCGATCGCAGAGGATTCCAGTGGACTCCCTCCATTTCATCCATGCCGCGTTGATTCGTGCCTTCACTGCCTGATCCACACTCCGTCGGCTGCCAGATCGCTCCCGAGGTATCGGAAGTCCTCCACTCTTTCGATGGTCTCACCATGGCCGTCTACGATCGGCTCTACCCTCTTCAGAGCTCAGGAACTTGGTCTTCTTGACATTCAGCCGGAGCCCACCTTCTGCCAGCGCTTCTGCCATTTCTGCACCTTGCCTGTAGTTTTCTCTCTGCTCCGCTATCAGGGCGATGTCGTCAGCGTAGAGGATGGTAACCGGCGTGACCTCTTCGGTTCGCGAGTGAATCGACCGTCCCCTTATTGAACGCGATGACTGGAAGGCGAAGCGGTGATGATGTCATTGGGCGTCAGTAGGGCAGTGGGAGTGAGCCCCTCCCAAGACTCGCCAGCGCTGAGAGCTTTATCAACCGATGAAGTCCAATGAGATCATCAACACCGCCACAACCTCCAGTCATCGTGTTCACTGCCTTTAAAGCGGCGGATGGTGTCACATGATACTGACAGCAGCGCTAGCTGACAGTGGTGCTCCTCCCTAGCCCCACTCGCCATGTTAACCATCGCGCGCCATAAGCGCGCCACCAGTGAGCTGGGGCAATTTACACTACGAGTGTAATGGTGATGAGTCCTTATGATCAACGCTTCGGTCCGTGAAACCGACAGCGTGTCCTAACGAAAACCATTCCTGCACAGAAACGACCCGAGGCAGCGTTCAGACTTGACGATCGCACATGTGGTTAGGCGATTAGGCGATTAGTCCACAAAGAAAGGGGCACTCACGTCCTTAGGCAAACACGGAAGTGAGTGGGCCACTCATAGAACTCGGACTAAGCTTTGGGAGGGGAAAGGATTCTTGAAGAGGATGTGAGCAACCATTGTTCTCCCTGTGTTTATTCCCAATCCTGGGCTTAGTCCTAGTGTCACCTACCAGCGGTTTTTGAATGCCCTGTTTTGAATGTCCCCCCCCCCTAAGGACATAAGCGCCAGGAAAGGGGTGAGTTTCGATAAGCCGAGCTGAGTTCGATTAGCCGAATTGGGGAATAGAAGATTAGGCGAGTAGACGACAGGGGAGATTGCTCGGTGGGCGGGGCGAACTAATCGATACGTATGCTTTTCTTACTGCCTACGCCTGCTCGCTTGATCGCCTGCTCGCCTAATCGCTTGAGGAGCGTTCATGGTGGGCGATTGACGATTAGGCGGGGAGACTACATACGTATTGATTGGTTTGCTCCGCCCATAGAGCGTTGTAGGCGAGTAGGCGAGTAGGCGAGTAGGCGATTGGGCGATCGCTCAATGGGCGGAGCAAAAATCAATACACATCCTTCTCTTATCGCCTACTGGCGCCTGATCTAATGCGCACGTACGATCGCCAACTAT